TTAAGCCCGGTGTAAAGTTTCTCTAGTCAATGATGGTTTGGGGAGCCATGTCATCTGCTAGTGTTGGTCCACTGTCGTATCAGGTCAAAGGTCAACGCAGCCGTCTACCAGGAAGTTTTAGAGCACTTTGTGCTTCCCTCGGCTGACCAGCTTTGTAGCTTAACATAAGACCTTGATTGCACGGCTGCTTACCACCACTACCAAAAACAAAACAGTGTGTGAACATAAAGTGCCTGTTAAACATCATGTCACTCAGTAACTGCCAAATATTTTAGCTTCCTGGTCTCTACTGGTAAGTATATTTACAAGGAAAAATATGTTTACAAAGTTATTAAACAGTTCAGTGCAAAATTCTGTGAGAGACGAGAGATCTGGTGCAGTGTTTACACTAGACTTGGATTTGAATGAGCCACACATGCTGTTTGCCATACAACTTGTTTGTGGTTGAGTTTTTATTTATTTTCAGAGGTCAGGAAGTTTGTGTGAATCTCGTTTCTCATCAGAGTGGAATTTGATAATCATTATTTTCTCCATGGAGTTGAAACAGGGCTTGGCATTTTGTCAAGGAATCGGATTTTGAGTGTAATTGCAGCTATCAAACACCAGATGTCAGTAGCACAAAGCATTTTGCTCACAGCTATAGATGTACCTAGGACTTGAAGGGCTCATTAATAAAAATCTAATATCAGGGATTGGCTGTAAATATAGTTGAAAAAATCAAAGTGAAGCCACTGACGCACATCCTCAGACTCTCCTCTCTGCTGATCCATTTAGTGATTAGCTGAGCTGCAGATGATTCCCTGATATTTCTTAGAGGTGCCCTTTGGTGTTCTTACCACACTGAGTATCTGATCGTCCTGCTCTTGGCAGCTCTCCTGGTCTGAGAGTGCTGAAGAAGCAAGCAGACATCAGGAAGTAAAGTCATCCCACAGACATCCCATCCTGTTCTTCACAGGACACAGACAGGGACGGAGCAGATTTATGTAAAGATGTTAGAGCATTGTGTGTGTGTTGTTGAAATTGTACATTTAATTACATATACTGTTTGTAGATTAAGATAATAACATTAAAGTGAGTATTTATTATTTTCACGTCTCATAATTTGGTGTGTGGACAGATGTTAAATTCACATGTTAAATAAATATCTTGTTGTATATGAATATATGTGACTGCCTTCAAAGATCATATCTTCTTTAGTTTGATCCCCATTCTCTTCTCTAGAGTCTGAAATAATGCCAATCATAGAGGCAGCCTTTTTTACCGGCTTATTGATCCTATTTTTTAATCTTCCTTTGATTTAAAAGAGAGGTAAAAAAAGGTTGTAGCTAGTGCCTTAAGATCCACGTCAAGAAGAGTCACAACAGTCTTCATCAGCAGACCCTTTATTATCATTGAGAAGATATTTGTTGTCATTTTCAAGGCTATGTATTATTATGTACTGCATGTAATGAATTTGTCCACTCATGTAAATGTACTAAATCCTTTCAGTAAGCATGAAACCTGTTCGTCTCATTACACTGAACGTTGTGTGACTTTCAGTCTTGCTGCTCAGTAATTGTATACATGATAGAAATAACTCAGTGAAATCACACTTAGACTTGAGTCAGAGAGAGAAAAAGAAGAGAAGAGAGAGTGTTCCCTTAGTGAAGGAAAACCCTAAAGAAATAAAACCAAATCTGCACACTGCTGTAGAAATCCTTGACTTGTGCATCCTCAGGTATGCAGGGAAATGAGTCATCTGGACTCAGGCATTTGTACTCTACAGTGGCTGAACATTTTTTTTTTATCATTCATTATGTAACCCCATCAGCTCTGTTCCATGACTGGCTGTATTTGTTAAAGTTTTGACTGAGAAAATCACCCTTTAAATATCTGTGAGCATCGTGAACATAAGACCAGAGGGAGCATATAGAAATCACCGGCTGGGTGATGGTCTCATAACTCTTCCTGATACCACTCCATGTTATTTTCAATAACACTAAATAATGCTGCATTGAAAAGCAAATGTGAGCTTGATCAAATTCAAAATAAGTTCAGTCAGAGCCCTGATGAAATTTGAAGAACTAAAACATGTACAATGTACACCAAAAAAGATCTCAATAATCCCTGAAGCCTGATATGAAGGTTTGGTTGACCAAGTCCTTAACTAAAGACACCATTTCGAACTGTTTTGGATGCTTTGTTTAAAGGAAGAGTTTCAGTACATATCACAAAAAGAAATTATGCATGTGTAGGTGTGTGCAAACTGAGCGAAACTGACCCTTTTTCTGGCTTTTTGGCACTTGCATTGCTTGAGCCTGTCTTGCAGTGTAACCTTCACAGCAATTGAAAACACATGTACAGGTGCAAAAGGAAAAAATCTGTATTATAAGGCTAATTTTAATGAAGTGTAAATAATGGTGTTTAAAAATACTCTGAATTTCTGTGAGCTACATTTGTTTCAAAATATGAGTAACACCTGTGTTTTTTTCCCAGTGTTCATGTGAAAATGGTGTTGCATCTTCTCACGTCGTGTTGGCAGCATTTTATTGCAGTGTATTATATTAAAAGCAGCAGAAAATCAAACTGGCTGCAGAGACAGGGCAAACAAACCTTTGCTGATTCACAGCCAGCAAACAGTGCTACTAAATCTTGGCAGTGCGATGCTAAGAAAGCTTCACTCCTACACACTGTGTGGGGAAAAAAAAAAAGCAGTGCACTGTAAACAGAATTGAATAACCACCTCAGTTACTCAAAGGTATTGTGAGTATGATTTTATATTGCTTTTTGGTGTTGCAGTGAACAGTGTACTCAATGTGAAGTGAAATGATTTCTCTGAGCAAAGCATCATCCAATCCCTGACCAGGATGCATTTTAATCTCACACAACCGGATTTCATAAATCATGGGATTAACAGTGATGTGTCACGTGGGTTGCTTGTTTTGAGTCTCACAGTTCATTTTTACATCTCTCTTGCGGGATTTGAAATGTTTGCTCCAATTTCTTTAAATTTGAGCAACCTTCAACTTTTAAGAAAACTCTTTTCAATAGCTTTAATCAGTGCCATTTTCTTTAGGTACTCTTATGTAATTTTCTTTATTTGAAAGTTTAACTCAAGACATTACACCTCTTCATTTTGACAGGAGCCTCAGTCTGGGACCTGAATGGGCCATTGGAAGCTGAATCTAATAACCTCTGATTCATCCACATGAGACGTAAGCCTACATCTAATTAGCACCAGACTGGGCCTGTGAAAGCAGAAAGGTCATAAAAGCAGCACTAATATATCTCCTCCTTCGTTTATGTGTCTAATTGTTTGGCGTTTTAATGGTGGTTGCTATTGACCGGCCAGTGGAAGATCTACGGCCGTGACGCAGGTTGTTTGTGACGCACAAAGTGGGCGGAGTTTCATGTTAAAACGCTGCGAAAAGTACAAAACTCGGAGTGTTATTTACTTTACTGCGAACAAACAAAGGGACAGAGTAATATGTAAAGACTAAGGCATGCCTATTGCTCTTATAAAGAGTGGTTATTTCTTTATTTTTTAACCCTCTAATGCCTGAAACCACAAATTATGGCCAGAAAATTCAATTTTTTTGGAGCTGAAATGTTTATTTTACTTAGTACTGAAAACCAAAAAAACAACAAGAAAATGTCCTAAAAATTTTACATTTATATTTATTTATCTTGTTTGATACATCAGATGTTTTTGGAAACTGATAAACCACAAAATGACATTTTTATCATTTATCAGACTGTGTTAAGGTGTTTTTTTTTTTTTTTTGTTTGTTTTTTTTTGGAATTTGTTGATCATATTGATTGATAGAAGTATTATAAAAGTATGTATCAAATATGATACAAAAGGCAATAAGGGGTTAAGAACAAGAAAGTTTTAGTGATGGTTTCAAAGTGTTCATCCTGGAAACTTAAAGCGGTTTGGTAACACTTTACAATGGTAAATAGATAGTTTATTAATGATTAGTCATCATTTAAAAACAGCATATAGACCAATTATAAATGGCAAATAGAAAGTTTATTAATGTAAGTTAATCGTTTCTTTACCATTAACAAGCAATGAAATTAATTTTAATTAATTTTTAATGGACTATTTATTAAAGGTAGGGTTTAAATACTTGTTGTAAAACATCTAGATTTAAATGTGTGTCAGTAGCACTTTGTAAATGGTTAATATTTGTTTTTTAAACCATCTATAAACATTACTTAGATGGTTATTGTAGAGTTGCAACTGATGTTTGTAAGACTTTGTAAATGATTAATAAGTGGTTTATAAACCACCTATAAACATTACTTAGATAGTTATTGTAAAGTTAGGGTTAGGTTTTAAAAACTGTAAAATTTACAATTTATTAATGGTCTATATGCTGCACAAGGTAATTTTGCAATATCTTGTGCAATACAGCATTGGGACATCATTAGTAATCATGTGCAATACAGCAATTTTCATACCTCTTTATCCCACTGACTTATCCTCCATTTCATTCATTTCATACATACATTCACACTGAGCACCTGCATTGCTCGTTCACCTTGTAAGTATCTCCTTTTTTTTCCACCAACCATAACTTATAAATGGTAAATATTTCTCGCACTTTGTAAATATTTCTCCAATACTTGTATTCATACTATTGTGTATTTTATCCGTACCCCTTTGAGTCGATCGGTCCTCTCTTCTAGGGCATTAAATTGCACTGTTGACCTTGTCTAACATGCACATGACAAATAAACAAATCTTGAATCTTATAAATGATGATTAGACATTAATAAACTATCTGCTTACCATTTATAAATGGTCTATTTACCATTTATAAGTTATGGTTATTGTAAAGTGTTACCAGATGGTTTTTTTTATAAAGATATATTTGTGAACTAAACTTTTTTTTATTTTTGATAATATTTATTGTTATTTATTCATTTAACCTCAAGGATTCTCATGACAGGGCTGTCTGTACAAGATTGACACTTCTTGCAGTGTTCTCCTCCCCTTCCTCCTCCCACTCCTCCTCCTCCTCCTCTGTAATGACAGAAGGGGGCAGGTCTTGTTGTAGTGGGCTCTATTACTGCCTTGGCAGGTGATGCTGTGTCTCACACGGGGCTTGAAGAGCCTCACTGCTTATGTCGTTATAATAATAGCGAGGTGACCTGATTTCAGCACCGCTAACAGCTCCTGAGCACGGCGGACATTTGCTCAGCCCTTCCTCGCCCGGCCGGTGCGTCTCACACAGCGGGTTACCAGGGCGCAGCCTCCGCGGACAGTTTCAGCACCAGCGGCACGGAGCTGTCCACACATTCAGCACTTTTCTTCTCCTGGAGGGTGGAAACAAGAGCATAGAGGAGGAAGGAAAGTCGGGATAAAGGCGTACTTGGACCAAACGAGACAGCGTATTTCAGGATGGCGTCAAAATACGTTGGCCTCTTCGTCCTTTTCACCCTTCTAGCACTGAATGTAGTGAGCCAGATATCTGCCTTCCCCACACCTACACCAGCCTCGACGGATGGTAAGTTGACCATCTCTCCCACAGCCGTGCGATGATAAATTTGTATTAAATCGATCGTTTGTTGTGCTGTGAAACATTCTGTCCCTATACTGTAACAAAGATGTTGTAAATGGAGCCAGTCACTTGATTTTTAAGGTTTTTTTAATGTCACAAAGTGCAAGCAGGTCATTCAACTCTATTCAGCTGCACATAGACGGTGTGTTGAATGCTGAGATTGACCTGTCCATTGGATATCAACTGTTCAAACTTCATTTAGTTTGTAGTTCAACGTTGTGACAATCAATTTTTGTTTATCTTTACTGAAGTTGTGGGATATTTTGCAAACGTGATAAGCAGCTCACGATTTTAAATCCAGTTACAAACCTGTTGAATAACTAAATAAAGCAAAAAAAAGCCTTAAATCAAAGTTTGGCTCCCACTTCTTACAGTGACCAAGTGGATTTTGAACGACGCCTCGTCCCCTTGCGATGGCCGCCTGTGGTCTATTTTCGACGCGGTTTAATCTTTTGTTTGATAATCCGATTAAGCTCTGCCTCTGCTGTGGTTAGCTGGGAGGGCAGGGACGGTCAGAGGAGTCTGAAAGCTGTAAATGAATTTAAATGACAAGGATAGCTAAAGGAGTCTGTAAATGGAAGCTTAAAAGATGACACTTTTTCTCTTTTAAAAAATGTTCATGTGCAAAGTAGGTTTCTTAGCCATAAAATCAAAGTGAGAACGTTAATTATTAAGTCTGTTTTGAGTCACAGATTGAGTCTTTTTATTGTGTTGCAGATAAAACTGTGTACAATAGACAGCTGACAGAAGAAAGACCCCTACAAGAGCAGGTGAGTCCTCCCAGCCAATTTTATCATCCAATATCCGGTCAGAGGGCTTTATGGTGACTTGTCAAACAACCTCAGTCTTAGCCCAGCAAACATTTATCCGAGCTTATATCCTGAGTGGAAATTATTTGTTTAATGTTCCTTTTTCCCTGCAGATTGCTGAGGCAGACAGTGTGAAGGCTGCAGTACAGTCAGCTGGTAAGAGGAAACCTTGCTGCTAATCAATTAACTTCATTCCCACTTTGCTGAGTGCATTTCTGTTGCAGCCCTTCCAGTAAAACAAGCTCCACTTGTATAGAAAAGAAACAACTTATAAAACCACAATGAATGAGCGTTCATCTTCTTCCATTATGTCCTTTTTTTTTTTTTTCTGTTTTCATTCAGAGAGCAAGCGTTCCTCCGCTCCCAAGGACTCCGAGTCACAGCAGGACCTTGATGACTTCACTGTGCTGAAGTCTCTGGCTGATGGGCAGAAATCAAAGGAGTCCACTGATGTGCCAAACAAAAAAGACACCCAGTACGTCCCAGATGAGTCTGACTCGACAAAGAGCCGACGTCTGGCTGAGGACTACGACTCCACCAAGAACGGGATGGACTACGGCAAGTACCAGGGTACGCACACCTGTCACCATCTCACTCCAGCACGCCCCGCACTGGCATTGTTTATAAAGTAAGCGGCTATAACCACAGTGTTTGGTCCCTCTGCTTGTGTGGCCTTTGTCCCCTTGAATAAGGGCAGGCCTCATGCCGCGTGCTTCGGTCCACCACTGGCAGGTCACTGGGCAGACATTTTAAGAAAGAGAAGGGAGAGAGAGCACGTGTATTTGATGGGGATCAGCCGAGACAGATAGAAAGAGTCAAAGACAGGACACGTGCACGCAAGAGAGAAAGATTATCCCCACCCTCTCTGTACAGCTACTGTTCCCGCTTCTTTTATCTCTCCACAGGGGACTTTTTTTTCTTGGCTCTGATTTTTCCCAGAGATGGCGTCACTATTTCATATCTCTCTCTCTCCCTTTTTGGTGTACAGAGAAATTTAAAAAAATCAATTGGAGCCAGAAAGAAGAGAAGTAGAGAGCCCTTCAGTGATAGTGCAGTCCTCAGACTGTTTTGACCCTAATTATGGTGATTACCTGGGTGTTTTATGCATAGCTCAGAAGAAAATGAATACATAATGAATATATGCCATGCCAGTACGACAGACATGACATTTACAAAATATTTAAGCGTCATTTCTAAAGGCATTTAAATAATTTCCAGTCAGATTCAGTGCAGGTAATTCGTCTGTTTTTTGTGCAAATACAGACCTTCAGCTTTTTGAATAGGATACTTCTGAGCTCTCTCAAAATCCAACCATATGCAGAATTGAACATTGATTTTGGGTTCGTATAGATTCCTCAGATCAGCACATCTCGCTGTTTATGCATGTAATTTGATCTCCCATCCAGTCAGCAGCATAAAGCACAGTCTCAAAAACGAGGTGACTCAGACACAAAGCGCTGAGCGCTACATTTCATCGATTCACTCAGTCGGCTCTGCAATGACAAGCAGCTCGTCAGGTTACTCTACATCTAAAATTGGCAAACGCAGTCCGAGTTTCACTTTTCCTCCTTCCGCCCAGGGACAAAAATAGCCCTGGTATTTGATGGTTTTTTTTGAAAAGTACTTCAGAGATGATTCATGCTGCCAAAGCGGGCCGGAGTATTCTGGCTCTGCTTATTTTTGTAGTGCGTGGACATGGAAAAGCAGCAGGGGTGTTACGTAAGAAAAAAGCTGTAACTATTGCTCATTTTCTGATAGTAATGCAGATAAATGTGTGAAATTGAACGTGATGAAAACACTTTTTTTGACTATGAGAGAACCCATCCTGGTCCAAATATAATTGCCTGGTTGATTTTTATTTTATTTATGGTACAAAGATGTGCAGAGGATGGGTACAGTGGGGGGTAAACAAAAAGAAAAACACCTTTTTAAAATCTATTCAAGAGTGTTTGGTTGTAAGAAATGAGGAAAAAGTATGTTGGAGAAGTAGCAAATAGTAACAGATGAACCATTGTCTCCATACAGATGACCAAGACAGCTTTCGTCAAGTCGATGGCACTCCACTGACAGCAGAAGACATTGTCCAGAAAATTGCGAATAAAATCTACGAGGAGGACGACAGAGGAGTCTTTGACAGAATTGTTTCCAAACTGCTCAAACTGGGCCTGGTAAGTTGAGAGCCTGTTGTCTCGCATGCTGTTCAGTTTGCACAGCGTGCAGCTTGACATTTTTTTTAGCAGGAACTCTCTCCCCCCTGCCTTCTCACCATGAAAGGAAGAGAAGTGTGAATTAAGCTTTGTTTCATAGTCTCAGCTGTGAATTACTTTTTACTGACACTCAATAAGTAGTTTGTCGGTGCCAAATTACTCCTTCAGAGGGATCCTTAAGAGACAGTGTTTCATCACAGAGGTTTGCAGACAGGACATGCTGTCCTGTATTGGCACAGCTTACAGCACATGTGTTAGTTCGCACACTTGTTTTTTTCAGCCTTTTTTTTCCTCCTTTTTGTCTCTGTGTAGATCACAGACAGCCAGGCTGACACTCTGGAGTACCAGGTGGCCGAGGCTCTGCAGGATCTCATCTCTAAAAACGCCAAGAACAACGAGATTGAGGACATCGAAAATAACGACCAGGAACCCAGAGGGGAGCAGGACGACCAGGGTTCAGACACAAATCCGGTAAAAAAAATTCCACCTGAAAACAAATAATACTAAAAAAAAACGTGGGTGAGGTGTTTGCATGCCATGGTCCAGGCTTTACAATCCACATAACAGTCCTGTGTATTATGTGTACATATTAGCTTGATTTCCCTCTTCACCTACATGCATATTTCACTTTTTATTGGGGGACGTTGGGTTTCAATTGTCACTCATTTATTTTCAAGGACACGTGGGAGCCAGCCCGGCGCCGCTACAACGATGATGAGGAGGATGAGGAAGTAGATGACGAGGAGACCGAGGATGATGTGGACAGAGATGTGGAGGAAGAGGAGGACACAGGGGACAACACCTGGGACAAAGAGAACGAGGAGGGCAACGAAGTGAGACCTGAAGACGGGCTCCAGGACCTTCAGTACTTCCCCAACTTCTACCGTCTGCTCCGGAGCCTTGACTCAGGTAAACACTCAGTCAAGTCTGGAGTGACATTTAAGATCATCACTTCATAGCATGCTCTGTCTAAAGATAGACGATCTCAAGATGGAGAAGAGCACTCAAGAGCTGTTGTTGTCACGACATACTGTTCTCAAAGATGGGTCGATGCTTGTTAGCTTCCCTGTGTTTCCATTCATTCCTAGCAGTGACACACACACACACACACACACACACACACACTAATTATTTATAATCCAATCATCATGACCCCCAACAGTCAAACACCATGAAGTACCATTAACACCATGGTAACCAATTACTGTTGATGAAGCATTGATGCTTGACGCAAACTCTGAAATGATCCTCTGCTGCTGCTACAGAACAAGACACTCAGGAGAGGGAAACATTGATCACCATCATGAAGACGCTGATCGACTTTGTGAAGATGATGGTGAAGTACGGCACCATCACACCTGAGGAGGGAGTGTCCTATCTGGGTAAGGCGTTACACAACAATGGCACTGTTCATCTAAGCTCTAGGATACTCACTGTCATAACCTGAGGTAGAGGGCTGTAGAAAAGGAGTGCACAGTTATGAAGACTTTTGGCAGACCTAATTGATAATTATTTACTTCTGTAGAGAGACAGTTTATAGTTGATTGTGGGAATGCAAGTTAAACTAAATACTCTTCAGCTGTGCCTGATATGTCGCCATTTCCCCAACTTAAAACTACACAATATCCCTGGATGAATAGTTTCTTTTTGATTTCACCAGGTTGGAAGTGTGGCACACATCTATCAAAGATTTAGACTTACAAAATTCAGTCCTCTGCCAAACTGACCTACAAGCCTTTTCTGTCTCACTGCGTTGTTACATCTGCCTCTCTGTGTGTTCAGCCAAACTAATGTCCCCCCACTAGGCTGTGCAGTGGAGTGTGAAGCCTGCAGAGACAGATTAGTGTCAGGGACACCCTGTATAACCAGGCTTGGCTTTTACATCAGCAACCAGTTGAAAGGTCAGCCACCTGTGAGGGACGGCTGTCATCCCTTTTTTTTTTTTTTTGAGCCTCGGGAAACCTCAGACCCAACATCCTCTCACTCCCTCTCTGTTCAGATGACATTCAGTGCGGACAGAAAAACAGATTTGATTAGCTTTAAATCAGCGCAGAATAAGTGGACTCATTTCATCATAAGATTATCATCATTAATGATTAATGTGTCATTTAGAGCCCCAGTGAGGAGCTTTAAACTGGTTATGAAACAGGATTACATTTATATTGCTGCGTCTTTATGACCTATAAAAGCAAATGAGACCATCAGAGATTGGCTAATTCTATAATGAAACTTTTAACTCCTGTAATGTTATAGAAACAATATATTTTTACTCTTTCCACAGTAAATATTAAGTGATACACTGAGTACTGAAGGGGATGAGAACGAGATTTTTGTCATAAAACACTAACTTGTTTTTACAGGAGAAAAATAGGGCAGCCGTAATCAGTGTAAAATCAAAGTTCCTCAAAGGGATTTTGAGACAAACAATGAAGAAACACATTTTAAGACCCCAAAGTGATGACTTCAAATTGCATTATTTAGTAAGGGTATTTAGAGTGACATAAAACATAGGAAATAAGCCAATCTGCACATTTTATAAAGCTTCTATCAGCAAGCTTTCTTGATACATGCATAAACGAATGACATCCACTGTCGGACAAATCGATTCAGAAAGGTAATGTGCGGATAATCAGGCTTTGTTCACTTTGTACATGTCTCACTGTAAGAGGTTATGATGGAGTAATGTTACAAACGCCAACCTTGGCAGGATCAATCAATACTCTTTCAGATGACCCCCCCACTGCAGCCTGGTCCTCAGTGTCTCTGAACAGCACAGCAAAGACCACTGCTGACACTACACACCAGAACTATTCAGGCGTACACCATTACACCAGATATAGGTCTCCTAGACAACCAGCCTCGCCTCATGTGCTATAGGTTGTGAGGAGATAAGCCAGTGGATCCTACCATCACCTAGCAACATGATAATGCCCCCCTTCCCTTCTTCCACCCCCAACTGGCTGCGAGGCTCTGATGAGTCACCCCCAGGTATACAACCCTACACACAGCTGTCAATCAACGCCAGTCTGCCTGAGGGTGATACAGGCCTGAGGAGAGAGAAAGAGAGAGAGAGTGAGATAAGGAGGACGGTGGTGGGGGAGGAAGAAAGTGATGTGCGTTTGTGTGGGTAGAGAGAGAAGATGAAATAATGTCCACAGGTGGGAGAAGACAGCTTGAAAACACAGGAAGTGAAGGGATAGTGAGATGATTTGATTAGAAGAAATGAAAAAGGAGGACAGAGGAAATTGTTAGGATGCTTTAGTCACAGCTGAGTGTTTGGGGAGGTTTTTCTTTTATCGCTGTGTCGTTCTGGTGCATTATTATCCAGGTTTCTCATCACCTGATGTCATTTAAGCTTCATTAAGATGCAGTAGAAAAAGAAACTCACAATGTTTATGTAATCACTTACAATAAATACACAGCCTGACTGGATGTGTCTAAAATATCTAAACCTTTATTTTTTTAATCATTATTAAGCAGTATCCTGTTTCAATATTCAGTTTATCCTTCATAATCATTTACACCCACACAATGGTCCTTTTTTCTGATGCCTTACTCAGAGATGAAAGCTTTAATGATGTTTTTCATCCAAGCTAATGTTGTACTGGTTTGCAAATGAGATAAAACTGGGGAAATATGGCAAACCATTAGCAGATCACATCCTCTCAGTTGATATTCATCTGAATATCTGAAAAGACACACAGATACAGGAAATCTAGATGTGACTAAAAAGACCAATTTAAAGGAAAGAAACGGCTCAGTTGAATTCAGCCACACTCGATCAAACAACATCAGTGAAATAGGTAAAAAGATACAACAGGAGAGGTGAACATATTAGCATTAATGTAAAATAGCTTGGTACTAAGTGAGATAACGTCGTGTTTGGTAATAATTGTCTGGATCATTTTTCAGATTCTTAACGTCCGTGTAATTTGCAAACCTGTGACACAATACAGCGTGAGATATTCTCTCCCTGAGCTTAAAAGAGTAAAAGAAATGGTCTGTGCCTGATGTAATAGTGATGTAGTGGTGCATGATGTAATGGTAAGAAAATACAAGCCCTTTTTAATGTGAATGTCAACAATAAGCAGGAGTTTGTCTAAAAATGAAAAATTAATGATGATGTACTAAAACACTGTTTTACTGAGGGTAAAACTTGGATGTTAACAAACATGGTGACAGTTTAATTCAGCAGCTTGTTAGAAAAAGAATATCTTGATGGTTCAAACAGTGTTCAGACTGTGTTCAGACTGTTTAAATGCTAATTTAAGGGACTGATATAAATGTGCTCTTAGAACTCGATATATCAGATGAAATTACATCTGATCTCTGGGATTTGTGTATCTGCAGAACATCTGCTCCCCTCTCTTTGAACATGTTTACCCTTTTGTTAATCCACAGAGGATCAGTTGACACTTAACATCAGTGTCATGAGCTATATGATCTGATTGTGTTATTTTTTGGCTGATTTAGAGTCTTAAAACTCTCTAATCTTGTTGTGATCGAGAACAAAACCTCTGTTATGTGTGCCGTAACAAGCACAGAGGAGGACAGAGGACTGTGTCTACTAAAACAGGGTTATTTATCCACATTAAGGTTGACCCTTCAGTTTTCCAATATTCAGGCTTGTGCTTTTAAAGTAACTTAATAAAAACATGGACAGAGATTTTGTTTATCACTAAAGTCATCAAACAATAACAAGATAATAACCCCTTTGATATGATCACGACCCTGTGAGTCACTCAGACAGCGTGGGACTTTCTTAAGGTCATGAATTTCCTTTATTCATAGACTTAAGAACCAACTGATGACTCAGTGTTTATTGAATTTTAAGTGAATGCATGTTCTGTTGTTTCTGCAGAGAACCTGGATGCTATGATTGCCATGCAGACCAAGAACAAGCTGGGCAAGTCTCTCGTGTCTCCTGACTTCAGCGGACCCAACGGTAAACCATCTCAGTATAATGTCGCTCCAAACATGCCAAACTGTGAAACTGAGACAGAATATTTACTGTGGAAAGGATTATTTGATCAATTTTTAAAACTCCTAAATCTGTGAAAATAAAAATACAGAGCAACTTGGATGAGTGTTGATTTTTGTGAAGAGATGTAAGTTTAGCTCTTTTTGAGGATAATTTCATGACCAAGGTATGTTAAAGGAAAAGGCAGTTATATGTCTTTTTATTTTATATGTGGAACAAAACATTCAGATAAAAACAGTTTGACATTTTGAAGTGTTTGTTCATTTTCTTAGATGAGAAGCCTTAGATGAGAAGATTAAAACCGCTCCCAGATCCACCAGTCAGGATCAAACTACCAATGGTCAATTAGCTTAGCTTAGCAAAACAACTGAAAACAAGATGAAACTGGCACCTTCAAAGCTCAGAAATCAACTCATAATATATCGTTGTGTAGTGGTCACCAGAACCTAATGATACACGGGTTTATGTGTAAGACTATAACAAGTTGCTGAAAAGGGAAACCTTGTGCAAAAAAAATAATTAACATAAATAAAGCAACAACAATCATTCTTGATGTCATTGTAGGAAAAATGCTGGATGAGGACGACAACACCAAAGCCGAGGCTGCCAAGATGCAGAAGGAGTACGAGAACCTGAAAGACTCAACAAAAGAGGAGCAACCATCAACTGAGACCAGTCAGTCCACAACCCAATGATGACCTGAGGGAACATGAATAGCCTATTTTAATGATATTTAATACACTGCTTTAATAGTTTAGTAGTTTTGACCCCTGAGAATGATTGTGCCTTGTAGATTGCATTACTCCCTTTTTTAAGATTTGTTTTGTTCCACCTCTGTTTGCTTTTTTTTTGTTTTTTGATTGCCTTGTTTTGTACCTAAAGTTTGAAATAAATGCAAAATCTCCAAATATAGCAAATTCCCGCCACACCAGTTCAATGAAGCGTCTTCCTCGCTCTTTCTCTAGTCGAAACAATGACATGAAGTAGACGGCGTGCTTCAAAGCTAATTGTAGTTAAGTTCCTGTTTCTGAATTAGGCCAGTCCCATGACGGTGACAGGAAGGCACGTCACAGCTGCCGTCCCTCCCTATATCCGTCTTTGCTCATCGGCCTAATCCACATAAACTCACGCACGCACACCCACACACACACATACACACGCTCGCTCGCTGTAAAAGCAAAATGAAGCCTAGAGCTGGATTACCAGAAGAACATTGATTGCTTCCTGAAATTAAGAAAATCCTGAGTAATGTCGGCTAAATCCTGTATATGTCTCAGCTAACAGGCCATGCTGAGTTGTTTAATATAACACTTATGTACTCATGGAGTTTTTGCATTATATTCTATATTCAATCTGAAGTTAACAATGAACATATTTTATGATTTTCCTCTTTAAGTTTCTTGAATTTGAATCAGAAAACTCTATAACCGCTGCAAGTTTAGCACTAATGTTTAACCTTGGGCAGCTGTAACCCTGACAGATGAGAGAAAATGTCCTGGTTCAACAAAATTCAATCCTGTAAATAATTTAGAAGTGTAAGATGGCACTTTGGTCTCCTCAGAGTGCAGATGTCCTCAGAGGAAATGAAGGGACATCGAACCGTTATCTAATTTCTAAAGCTTCAAAGAGGACCTTTTTCATTTCCTCTGTTTTTTCCTCTCTTTCAGGTCAACCTGGCAAGTCAGAAACCTATCTGGAGGCTATCAGGAAGAACATCGAGTGGCTGAAGAAACATAACAAGGAAGAAGGCAAGGACGGTGAGACACGCTCCACTTTTTCTCTCAAGTGGTCACTCTAAACTGTTCTTTTTTCTCCACTTTTGTCAAGTTTGAAGAGCCAGGACAAGAAAAAAACATCCTCATTAGCAAGCCCTCCTCTCCTCATTAAAGTGACCCGGGTCACGGGCAGTTCTGGAGAGACGCGCTCAAGAACACAAAATTTGAAGGCTCTTTTGTCCGCTCTCATTTGCATTTGAAATGAGTGTGGGATAGATGCTTCACTCCAGATCTCATGAATATGGATAATTGTACATGAGTCTGTCCTCGTTAATGATCTGGGCTTCTTCATCAAAGATAGAGAGCTGTTCATTTACTCCCTCCTACCTGTTCCTCTACATCAACAGTCCCGTAGCATATTTAGCAAGGACAGTTGTGTTTGTGTTTATACTTGCGTCTGTGCACATACTGTAACTGTCAGCAGCATCTGACCCAGAAACTGCAGAGCTGTGCAGACTGTATTGGTTTGACACACAACCAAAAATCAATGCCCACTTGTGCTTAATTAAGCAGCAGAGTGAAATGTTAATGAGTTCTCACTATCCGGGCCATTGGTCCACCGGCGATCATCTCTGCAGGACATCGAGGACATAAAGATAAGCCAAAGTACTTGCTGTGTGATATTTATATTTACCGGTCATGCTCAGTGGTCTGATCCGATACGAGTCACTAAATGGGACATTCAGCCTCCAGGGAGTCAGAAAAACAGAATCAGATAAAAGTTTGACCCAGATTTTATTTTGGTTTGTTAAAGCAAAAGAAAGAGAGAAAAAAAACAAGGCTGATGCTGAGCTCATAAAGCTGCAGAGTGAAAGAAAAGCAGCAGGGAAGTTTTGTTCGGTGCTCATCCCTGACCTGGCTCTATATAGGACACCTCATTAGCATGCAAGTGTGCGTGGAGTGGTTGTCTGGGGCAACAGGGGCCTCCCTGCCTGCCAGTCAGGGATCTGGGCAGGGGGAGACAGACAGATTATGGTGTCAGGACGAAAAAATTCTGTCTAGAGGGTCACATTGTGCTCTGAGAACCACCCAGTGTCCTGTTATGATCTTTCAAAATGACATCCACTTTTCTGGCACTCCTAGACCACAAAAAATCGCCTGTGTCATCCTCGTTAATTTTCCTGTCTCTCTGAGGAAAAGTACAGCTGGAGCAGAACAAAAAGCCTTTCAACAAAAAAAAAAAAAAAGGCAGCGTCATAGAAACAGAGTGGAAAGCGGGCCATTTATTGTGTTTACTCTACCAGAAGCAGCCATTAGGACAATCTCAGTGTGTGCATAAATGTGCGTGTGTGTGTGTTTACGCCTACACGTTACACAGATTAGCCAGAGGAGCAGATGGGCTTCGAGGCAACATCCTGGTTCTGCCTGTTGGCCTCCTCGCAGTCAAGATTGGGAAAACTGGTGCAGTCCATAATCACATTCTGTTAATCCTTCACACACGGCATGTTTGTCCGAAAGTGTTTCTTATAACTTAAAATGTCACGATAGAGGTATGGTGGTAGTCTTCTGTTCACTTGTCCTCTTAGTCAGTTTAAGAGCAGAGAGGAGTGGAGCTGCTGATGTTTGCTCTGCTGCTCCTCTGCTGAGACTCATTTGTTACTGTGATGTATAATACAGGGTTAGGCCTCTTTCATATCTAAATATAGCTCCTTTCCGCTGTGGCCGTATGGTGTTTTATGGAATGATGATGAAAAATGGTGCTTCAAAAAAGTCAAATGTGCTTTTCAAGTGTTTTTCAGCCTTTTAACTTTTTATTTAAGCTTGTTTGAAGTTGTAACTCACAACCTCTGCCAAATTAAATACCAGAAATAGTTTAATTGTGATCTTTTTCTTTTTCTTATTCAATGTTTGTCTCTTCTTAACCCCAGACATGCTAATTCTGACCTTAATCTGCCTTGATAAATAACCGCAGCACCAGATTATGCCTTGTTTGGGTTTGCTGTTGTGAGGAGACGGCGCTGCAGGAGTTCAATGTCTGATCTAGTCTGTGGTCAAACCACCACTGCTTCCTGACCCCTCTCTGAATCACACACTAAAGACACGTCTCCATCTGTGCATGCCTTTCCCAGATTATGACCTGTCCAAGCTGAAGGACTTCATGGACCAGCAGGTTGACTCATACATCGAGAAGGGCATCATCGCCAAAGACGAGGGCGACACCATCAAGAGGATCTACAGCAGTCTGTAACGCTGTCGTCCTTCGTAGCCTGTTCACACAGGACTGAATCTGAATTTAAAAACCCCAACCAAACTCCGATTACTCATTATTTCCCACAGCATGGTAAAGTATATACTGTGTATTTGAATCTACATGCTAGGGGGGAACTTATCCACCCTGACATTCCCAAAATGTCTCAAGAGATTTAATCAAACTCAATCAATAAAACATTAGGGCTACTCTGCAGCAACCTAACTGATCCTATTTGCACGTTAAGATCTCAGTGTGATAATGAATAGAGTATAATTATGAATAGAAATTAAAGTATTTTATGTTACCAACTCACCACAAACTTCTACCATTTACTCCTGTGGGAAATGAATGTTATAGGAATATGATGCTGTAGCTTTGCCATCAACTGTTTCCGATTCGTTTTTTTGCTACAAAATACACACGTATGAAAATGTACTCATTCTGTGTAACCTGTCTTAGCCTGTTTGATTTCTTTTTTCCACTGTATACGTCAGAACTTTTATGTATTTCTTGCTTTTTATTTTACCAAAAATATATTTCTTGTGTACGATGTCAATGCCCTCTGAACTCCTGTTTTCAGTTCTGCTGTCGTTCTTCTGGGGCCCACTAGAGGGCAGTGTCTGTAACATCATGTCTCTCTGCATGTCTCTGTGAGTTCAACATTTCCATCTGTGTAGAGCCAGAAGATAAGTATTTTTAAATGTAAATATCTGTGATTTTTTCCTAAGGTTTAAAAGCAATTAAAACATTGCCTTTTCTTTATCTGTGTACTTAACTCTTCTAAACAAAAACACGATCACTAACACACTGATGAAAAGCCTCCCTCATGGTTTAAATACACTTTTATTCTTCCAAATAAAACGATAAGATCTGAAAGCACAATAAAACAGAACAGCATTTACAGACAGTTCTCCACACACTTAAATAATGCATTCACACCTCAAAAAATAGAGCACTCCCTTCTGTTTCCAAAGACAAAAAAAAAAAGGTTCAATGAGGCAAACAGGACATGTCAAAGGCTTGAGTCCATCCACCGCTCCTGTCTGGGATGAGCTCGTGCTGGGTAAACACTGATGAGGAAGGCCTGAATACAATTTCCGATGATTCTATTCTAAGAGGGGATTTAGAACATCAGAGGCGGTTAGCGAGTCTAACAAGCTAATCCTCCTGGAGTTGCTTAACGCTTTGTGCCTGCGTGTGTGTGTCTGTATGTGTGTGTAAACATGTGCAGCAGGTGGGTTCTGTACAGCAGCTTCAGTAGGGTATAAGGAGCGGACGGGGGCGTGTGCTTGAATGCTATTTAGATGCGAGATGCTCCCCTTGCGGTGCGAGTAAAACTGTACAAAACAAGAACAATCGTGTACATTGTTGGTGCATATCAATAAATAAAAGGCAAACATGACACTTGTTAAACGAGGGTTTGGTAAAAGCGGAAACGTAGAAGAGGAAAGCGCTGAGATTGTGGTGGTGAGTGTATTAGTCTGAGACAGGGCTTCAGGTAAACAGACAGGTCCTTTAGATTTCCTGGTATGATGACGTAGGGGTCGTGTAGTTCTCCTCATTGCTCCTGTGGGTGAAAAAGGGAAAAGATTCACTTTTTGTGGCAGTTTTACACAAAAGAAACATGCTTTTGTTTTGTTTTTGCATAAGACTACACTGCTCTTGCCTTTCTCCCTCTCCTCAGTCACCACAGCACCCAGGTACGAGTGCTGTGTGTGTGAATAATGGATGAGTTTAACCAGGCAACCCTATTGTCCTCTGTCACAGCTACAGGATCATCTGAACCTTCATCTTAAGCTCAGTCACAACAGGCTTTTTATTCCTACTGGTTATATCACTTCATTAAAGCTGCTGTGAGGAACTTCTGGTTTACGGACTCAGAGAAACCATCTATCCCTGTTCATGAAAGTAGACTTTCCTGACAAGAATTTCAACCTAACGTCTGAAATGTATCATTAACTGTGAGTAGCTGCCTGGGAAGAGCTGTTCTTAGCGTGCTGTCAATCATCTGCTCCGACATCTACCCCCTCACAGCTGTTACAGGAACTGAAAATCACAACTAAGAAAATACCCGCCTTGTTTCTAAAGGGTTTGTTTGCTTTAAAAGATCATAGAGGCATTAGTATTAGTTTCAGTCTGTGTATCAACCAATCAAAACCTCCTCACAGTGCCTCTAAGTGCTTTACAAACTGAGTTACTGAGCTTATAAAAGCAAGCTACAGGACTGAACAGCACTGAGTGACTTCGTGGAGTAAAGTGGCCAGTTTTCAAAGTAAAAAACCAATACAGTGATGTAGTGTTCTCAAATGTAGATATAGATACTGAAGCCACAAAAGAAGAAGTATAAATCCCTCCATCATTCCCCACAGTTTGGCCTAAGAGGTTTGTGGTTAGTTTCATTTCCAGCAGGCGTGTGGTGTGTGTTTGCTCTAGGACTATGTGGAAACAACGACATGAGTCTCTGTTTGCTTAAGCACAGTGCAGCTTCACCGGCTGGACTTAGATTGAGCTGGAGTCAGAGAGGGGGCCGGGGCTTTAACAGAAGGCTCAGATTTGTTCCAGTTGATAGGTGAACATTAAGAGACTAAATTAAAAACTTTTGACATTTACTCAAAGCTTTAATCAAACAAATCACGTGTTAAGATTTACTGCCAATAAGAAATATTGACATAGCTGTGAAATACAAACAGTTTTGTTTGTGTTGTTTCATGAAGCGAAGGACATCAACCCAACAGCTGGCCTGTGTCCACCCAGCAATCACTGTACTCTGAGCACATCACACCAACAGGGCCAGAGTGAGAGAAAACAGCTTTCAGTGAGTGTGTGGAAGGAACTGCTGCAGTGTGACTCAGGCCTGTCTACACAAAAACTACCAACAACAACAACGGGGTTATTCCAGGTATCCATTACTACCTCACTGTTTGAACATGCCGGGATAGGGGAGGCATGCTCAGGCCTGATTCAGCAAGCCAAATCTGCAGCTAAATACCTGAATGTTGCATAACACAGCATCTGACTAGTAGGGCAAAACCTTGATTGCTATCTATAATTCTGTCTGTGGGAACATTTTTACTTCCACGTATTTGGCTCCTCTTCCTGCTGACTGAGACTTCTGTTGGAGGCTTCATCAGCTGAGCTCAGGGAGGGGCATCTGGGGCCAATTTTCATGAGCACTTAAAGTTTATTTTAATACAGAGATTAAGATACTCTCTGCTTTTTGGAGAGGGGCCTTAAGTGATGACAGCATGCTAAAAAAAACATGAAAGATTCCACCGAGACTTAAACCTGCAGAGGATGAAATGTTTTCCTTTAAGCCTTGTTTACAGATGCCTACATCTAATAATCCCTTGATAAGTATTGTTCAAAAACCTCTCAGATTTTGTCTCTACTGCAGAGAAAATCTTGGGGATGCGAGCTTCCGCTGACGGATGTTCTTCAAGGAAGAAAAGTAATCACACGCCAAACACCTGCACACACAGCAAAATGACAAAGCAGAAGCATCACTCTGCTCCAGGTCAGTAAACGTCTCACCTCACTTCCTCTTCTTTCAGCCTGCGTGCTGCCTGCTTTGACTGTTTTATTTGCAAGTCCAGTCTGTGTAAGAAGTCTTTGGCTGACAGCTCCTCTGGCTGGGGCTGGGGGGGTTTGGAGTCCTCGGGGGGAGGTGAAGGGGGAGGCGTGGGTCCCTCGATGTCCTGCGTCACAACACAAGGCGAATCTGCCTCCTGGCATGCTGCTTCAGCGTCCCCATCAGGAGACTCCAGAGACAGTCCGTTAAATATGGAGCGTTTCTCCGACACCACAGGGATGTTGAGGCTGTTCCTCAGAAAAATGCAGTCATTGCTGAAGAGCTTATTGGCTCTTTTCACCTGCTCCATCTGGGGTTTGAAAGAGACGGGGAGAAAGACAGTCTGAAAATAGCATCATGTACACAAACAGAGCACTTCCTTCTATGGTTCACACAGAACGGTCAACTGATCTTTTGACACCTTTAAGAAGAAACATGGTGGTGGTTCCATGAGTACATGGATGACGGATAAAACGACAGCTGTTACAGGACCATAAAATGTCCTGATAAGATACAGCGTCACTGTCTGTGATTTTTGGAGAATATTAGCAGAAAAATTAACCTACACAGCGACATTTAGGACATAAACAAGTCTGTGGAGTCAACTAAATACTTTGACTTCAATGTCAGAGTAGTTATTTTTAGTAGTAGTAGTAGTAGTAGTAGTAGTAGTAGAAGTATTTCAAAGTTATTTATACATGTTTACTTGAAAAGAAATGGCAACATCCATTTACTGGCAGTCCAGACATGTGTAAACCTTTTTTTTTTTTTTGCAGAAAATCATAGAATGAATTATACTTTGAGTTGAATTATAATTTAAGTGAGTAAATGGAGATGCATTTTAATGTATTTAATGAAAGAAACCACTGAGTAAGTTAATTCATTTCCTGCTGTTTGGGCTGTCGTTATTGGCTGATGTTCAGGGAGGAATCTTAGTCACGTCTACAGCAGTAGCTGTGGATGAGTCATGGCGGGGTGGTGTGTAAATCTGATTAAAAATAACAAAGATTAAAACTGTGAGAAACATTAGATTGCATCTACAGGACTGCCCGGATAAGCTTGACTTTTATTGATTCAGTAAGAGTGCAGGATCTATTTTAGTGTCTGTTAAAGGAAAAAGGATGAACAGCTTGTCTGGTGGTTAAATCACAGTGAACTTTGAAGGTCTGAGGACCCCATGGACAGGAACCACCTTACTCAGACTGCCCCCCCTTGGAGGAACTCTTCAACATTAACTGTTCAATTTCATAGCTGTCTGCATGTTTTACCTCACAGGTTCAGGCATGTTGTAAAAGTGAGAGTAGAACAAAGAAGTGAAATGGGACTTTCACAACACTTTGTGAAATTCAGTTAAAGTCTGAAGGTGTTGAATGAACCCCTCTTTCTCTGAGCCTGTGAGATGCTCTGGCTGATGCAAGAACAGCCTCACACTGTGTGCTTCAAGGTTTTAATGAGACATTTCACGGTTCAAGTTTGAATTTTACTGTAAAAGGGAAAGACTGTGACAGATGGATGAAGTCAGGAGCAGGCGTGATGTCCACATGATGGAGAAAAAGCCCCGATGTTGTTGTTGCATGACAGTGAGGGCTGATCAGACACACACAGTATATGTAAACATCAGTAGGTATACAAGATTATTAATAATCTTGTATACCTACTGTCAGATCTTGTTGTCAAGGTGAACATCAGAGCTCAGCCTAACCTTGCAGTCTTACCGTAACGCCGTATTTGAGAGCAATCCCCTGCAGGGTATCACTGTCTGTAACCCGATGCTCTATGTATTTCTCTCCAAGAGAGGCCGTGACGCTCGCTGTGCTGCCGTAGGACCGGATCTTAGTCCGGGCCAGGCTCTGGGAAAGTTCGCTCTCCGACTCGGAACCTGACCTGGACCGAGGGAAGATGGGCTGGCCCAACCGTCCTCCTCCATCCCGCATCGGCAGGACAGGCGAAAACTCCGCCATCTTCTCTTGAATAAATGAAGAGCCCGCTCACCTCTGCTGCTTTTAGCGCTCCTGCTGACTGACCAGGACCGACGCGAACAAGACCGGATTCAAGCGGCAGGGAGATTCCCATCCCCGGTCATTGTCGGCATGGCGGCCCGGGGGAGAAGGAACATGTTTCGTGGGACCACTACCTCACGGCTCGCTTTGTCATAGATCCGTTACGTTGACGTAAAAACGTAAAGAACGTCGAACCTTTCACAAGAGGAAAAACAAATGATACCACTTCCGGTTGCACTTTCAAAATAAAAGATTGTTTTTTTTTTAAATAATATGAGCAGTTTGTAAATTTCTTTAGAAGTCTTAAACACTAACACAGGTACAGGGTGGAAGAAGGGCATTAAATATCGAGTTATTTCACAATGATTCATGTACTTCTTTATTCTATTTATTCTTTTTTGTTAATATAATTAAAATTTGCAGGAGACTGATATTATTGAGTAAAGAAGAAGGGGTATGTTTCTAAAAAAGGAAAAAAAAAACATAATGCTTCATCCTACTCCTTTTTTGGACACGTTGGGTTCACATTATTATTATTATTATTATAGTTTACTTTTGGTGTTGCATGCACATGTTAAAAATAAATAAATAAATGAAATAAATGAGCACTAAACGGCTGAGGTGTCGAGTTTTTATCATGAGGTAGAATCAAACTGTATTTGAATCTTGACTATGTGCTTCCAAAATAACTACTAAGACTTTTTGTGCTCACTGCAGCTAACTTTAACTAACTTTTAAAGCAGAAAAACCAAGGCATAGAAAAGTTAGAAACACCCATGTGTTTCCTAATCCCTGAAACTGCCCATAATAATATATACTAATCCTCTGTTTCTGGAAAGCCAGACAAGCTAGAGCAGTTCAGGTAGGGCATTTAAGTTGGCAAAGAAAGCTGCCATTGTTTTCTCCTTGTACTCTGACACCTAATTTTTTTATGACCTTATTGTTAACTCAGATATTTATTACAACAGTTGTACTTGCATGCGACACGTTCAGTGGGGCCTTATGATAAAATCTGCATGAGATCCTGAACTTGTGGGCTGTCAAGGGTTTCATAATATCAGTAAACTTAAATATTATCATAGAGTATTTCCCTAAAACCATCTTTTATAATAAATGAAGTACAACATTATGACCCCTTACTAATAAAAGAAGTTAAACTCAGAGTTAGGGTCATTTTATATAGCATTATCTAAACCTTATTGTTGCCCTGACCCCTTAACCCCATGAGCAGCCTATGAGTAATCTCTCCTTTTGCTCAGCAATGATAGGTCATTAGTTTAAGGATAACATATTTAGTCTAATTAGTTGACAAAAACACCAAAAGCAGAAAGACTGAGAAGAACCTTTAACATCAGGTGGAAACATTCAGCAGGTCTGTGTGACAATTGCATGTGACATCTGGGGCCAGTGCTGCTAAACTCAGGGTAATTTTAGATGGTGTCTATGAGAGGAACCTGGTTAACAGTCTCATGACCAACCGTGTAGTTGAAGAATAAATGTTTTTTTTTTCTTCTAATAATCATCACATGGTTAAAGTTATTTGAAATACATTTGGGGATTTTCCAAGACTGGAATTTCAGTGTGTCAAAGTCAAATGAGGACGTGACTGTTTATGTAACACAAGATTTTCCACAATCATGTTGACCGGGGTTTTACAAACAAAACATCTATTCTTCTTTGAGCGTTTAAGGATTGAATAAAACTAGGATGCAGTTATACGGCCTAAAAGCAGACCAAAAAAATGATGCAGGGAAAATTCATTTTTATTTTGTCCTTCATCAACAGCATGAGTATATTGTCTGATTTTAAAAGAATGCTTTGACATTTTAAGTTAATATTCCCTCTTTCTAAGATATCATTTAAACCTAATCCTAGACTCAGTTTTTGACACTTTTGATTATTTTGCTGTAAAAATGAAACAGCAAAATGGAATGTCTTAGCGAACAGTATGCCACGCAATAAAATCCCTCAGAGCTTATCTTTATTCTTTAAATAACAACCTATTAGATGTCTACCAACAGGCTGCGAAAGGTCTGTTAATCATTAAAGATGTTTAATAACCAAATGAAATGAAAGTCAAATAGTACTTATACAACACTGTTCTCATTATGTATTCATTACTGAACAGCAGTAATGGCAGCACAGCCTCTTGTCCCTGTGCTCTGTGCATCTGATTTCTTTTTCATTTATTCTAGAGTCTAGAGTAGCACTGAATTTCAAAGGGCAGTTTTTTTTTTTTACCCTTTAAAACGTTGCTTTAGGAAGTTAAAGCCATGTGACCTCTTATTCATACAGATAAACTGTGCTGTTAGTGGGCATCAATAAAGGTTCAAATATTATTTAGATCTGAGTAACTTGTTATAGTGATGGTATAAGGTAGTAAAGTGTTATTTCACATGAAAACAAAGACGATAAGTGACAGGGCGGGCCTTCATGTACCATTTTCACTTCCTTTTGTGCACATTACTCGAAGACAAAAAAAGGAAAGCCACTCGTGGGTCCATGTTCTCTGAATCATTCATTAATATTGTCAGTCTCTTTTGGTTATAAATGAAGCTGCTGTACTCTTACAGTCTGGCATTTTCTAATGGAAATCAGGTCATTTAAGTCATGAGTACAAAGAGAGACGAGTAGGAGAGGGCTTGATTCATGAATAACAAATGATGTTCCCTGTGTAAAAAAGACAGTCATGATTGATTTGCTCTGCAGCGTAGGTACTAACTCACCCATTGCATGTGAGAACATCTGCTTCTGTGCAGTAAGAGAAGAAGACGTCAAACCACCGTTTTAAAGGAAAACCTCATGACATTTAAATGTAAAACAACTTTTTGAAGTATTGATTTGGAAGCTATTTTTAAGCAAGCTTGTCCAATTTACTTGGGGCCTACAGGACAAAAAAAAGACAAACAACAGGAAAGTGTATTTGCATATTGACCTCCAGCAAGAATCAGATTACTTCACTTGCACTGTCTCACTCTGACTTTCTCTTAAAGGCAAAAACAAACAAGCGAAACAAAGGGAGGGAGGACAAGCAAGTCAGTGAGTCATCTGTAATGTTACCATGACGACAATCTCTTGAGCCACCTCCTGATCAAATTGCACCCTGTGGTCTCGATGAGAAGATGTTGCTATCAGTGTAATATCACTCTTGCTCTCACCAATAAAGAGGCAGGAAGCTGATATGGCCTGTAAATCAGGTTTTATTGTATTGACTAAACCTTGTTTAGAAAATTTGAAACTGCAGGAAAGAAATGATGTGGGTGGACCACAAGTCAGATGGGAGCAGTTAAGGTTTACAGGGGGGAAAGGGTTAGATTTTACATTACAATGTTTATGAATCACTATACAGTAAAACTCTGTGAAAACATGGGAATATTGGTATTAGAAAGTCACAGGAAGCACAAACAGCACAGAAACCCACAGGATCTCTGTGAGAGGTGCCTGCTTTACAGTACTAGTCAGTTGTTTCTGACCTCTACTGGCCAATTTTAGGTATTGCAGATGTGATTTTTTTTTTCACTAGGTGGCGCCGTTTATTCACAATCAATCCTGCAACCTTCAGTTAAAATCTACTGTCCTTAAAAACGTGTAATGTCCTTATGTCCTTCAAGCTAAATTAGAAATTTCAATTAAATTAAGTAAACATATAAGTGGAAACTATTTTAGCTCATTTAAAGAGAACTGTTTGGTTTGATCTGGTCGATAAAAACACTGCTATAGAGGACTGTCTGTTCAAAAATGTTGAACAACTAGAGCTGCCATGTATGACCAACAAACAACTACAATTCAGATAAACATAGTGCTTCAGTCATGAACCTGAGCCACATTATGCTAAATGGATATTTTTCTCTTTAAGTGAAGTTAATAGATGGGTCAGACGCCCAGGCAGGTCTTTAAATTGTAGGCTTTTGTTTTAAACAGTCCAGCACACAGAGAAGGTTTCAGGAGCTGGTCAATCCAGCCAATGATTCAGAGCTTCTGACGATCATTTTTCCACTACAAACAGGGACTGTACTTGTGATTTTACTTGGCAGAGTGGGTTTGACATCATGACTTACTATTTTTGCCACAAAAGCGAAGGAGGTGAATACTACAGTGGTGCTTTGTAACAGTAAGAGACATGGCTGTTATTCCTGTTAAAGCTCAGGCAGGATGCATTATTTTTTTATTAGAGCTATTCATGGCTCAGAATAAATCTGAACTCATGATCGTATGTTACCCATTAATACTGATGGGTCTGTTTTTTAAAGAAATAGATGCACCACAGGTTTGAACTCAGGAAGATCAAACTCGTACTCACAGATGTGCCTGACTTTTCTCACTTCACTGTTTTCAGTCTAGATGATTACATAACCCTGTCAGGTATGAGGCAGTGTTTGCAGGAAACAGTCCGAAAGAATGTCAGTCTAAGACACTTCAACTGAATCAAAAACAGGTTTCCGATTTTCCTGTTAAGATGAGTATTTCCATTTCCTCCTAAAGGTGTTGGCACAGTTTGTCACCTGCTTTCCATGAAAAAAAAACAACATTCTTCAAGTGGTTTGGAACTCCATTCAACAAGAGACTGACTCACACCTTTAGTTTGGCTGTTTGTGAATGCAGTAGTGTTTTCCTTAAATTCCAGTTACTCATAATCTGTGGGCCTTTGTTTACCCAGCACATGAGGTCATGGCAGAGAGGGACTGCTGGGAGCTTTGTTCAGAGCTGGCAGGGCTGCCGCACAAAACCCTGATGGAAAAATAAACCTCAATCCTGCAGGTGAACATACCTGTGTAAGAGCGCAGAGAACACAGAGGGAGAAAGGACCCTAAGGCAGACGACTGGCTGTGTTTGAAGGTGAAATAACTCACTACGATCAGCCGGTCGGCCATGTTGGATATAACGGTGAATCAGACGTCGCAACAACACGCAATCTGATTGGTCAGAAGTGGAAACACAGAATGCGAAACTTAAGAAAAATCGACCATGGTCCGAAAAATTAATGCCGCAATATCGCAGGACGGGAAAACGTCGCTGATGTGAACGCTTGTATTGACAGGATACAGGTTCGAAAAAAAATATTGACGTCCGAAATAATCGCATGACAAAAACAGTCCTGGTGTGAAAGGACCTTTGGGAATTGAGTGATTCATTTCCAACACAGCCTTAGGGTGTGGCAGAATTTAGTTGTGATCTGTTGCCATAGTAACAGGGAATTCCAGGTGGAGTTCCCCTTTACCTAGGCAACATCACTGTGATGTCATCACTGTGATGACATCTAAGCTCTGATGTCATCAGAGCTTTGATGCCATCAGAGCTACTTCAAGGTAGGGCAGCATGAAAAGCATTTATTGACCGCACCAAGGAGAAGAAAACCAAATTGGACCTTGCTTCAAGATCATTGCTCAAACACAATCTTTGTTTTCAAAACAACTAACAAACACAAACACAGCTATGAGTCTCAACAGCACACCACAGAGGGTGGAACAGAAGTTTCAGCTGGCATCCAAAGAGACCTTAAAGCCAGTCATCCGTGAGGTCTTAGAACGGCTGACGGCGCAAAACTGGAACAGACTGGAGACTGGGTTTATTGACCCAGAAACCGCCTCTCTTGTGACAGATTTGTGTGTCACTATAGTTGAAGTTTTGGCTGAAAGTCTCTATGAGTCTTTAAGCAGGAGATTTAAAAAACGGAAAGGATCTGCTACATCTGTGTGTAAGGAGGACGTGCATGAATGTTTAGGTAACATGGGTGAAGTCATCACACAGACTGTGGCAGAAATACAGGGTGTAGGTGACATCCACTACCTTCAGTGCGAGCAGATGACAGATGTCATGGTCACAGCAGTCACAGAGAAAGTAAACTCCAGGCTGTCTAAAACAAGTGACACTGACGTCACGGAGGAGCACAAGCCCCCTCCCACTTATCTAATCAAACTGACTCGACACTTGAAGGCGATTCTCAAAAAGTGCTCCAAAAAGGCGAGTAAAATGATGACTAAAAAGAAGCTCAAGAAAGCTCGGGAAGGTGAGATGTCAACGTCACACCAGGAGAAGAGGGTGGAGGAGACTGAGGATAAAGTTCTTCAAATCCTGGTTGAACAACTGGAGAAGATTTCTAATGATTCTCTGAGTTACTTCACAGAGGAAGAAGATAGCCTGCTTCTTTCTAAAACCAGCAAGGACTCAGAGTTATCAGAGTTATCATTTCGGATTGTAGAAGCTTTTTCAAATGAGGCTTCACAGGACCTGGTTGGAGAGAAACAATCATACACAGAAGAGACCTTAATACACAACAGGAGAAAGGTCATCAACAGGATGAGGACTGTCTTTGTCCAAACATTTGCTCGAGGGTCAATCCTGAGCATGATGTGTAAAGTCAGACGCAAGCAGGCCTCCCATCAAGGACAGGAAGTTGTGGAATTAGACACATCACAGCTGATTAAGAGTGTGGATAACCTTTTATCAGAGGTCATTACACAAAACGATCAGGATACAAGAAGTGGGTCAAGAGAGGTTTGCCTCTTTGAGACTCTTGTCAGCAACATTTCCCACGGCAAGCTGGAAAGTTTTGCTGAGAAGCTGCATGACACATTGGACGACCACTTGACACCACTAGGAGTCCAAGAAGAAACATACGAAGAGGAGATTCAGACTGAAGTAGCCAATGTCATTAAACGGATAAGGAATTGGCTAAAGAAGCAGATCCGACTGCACAAGACTAGGGAGGACAGTGTGAGCGTGACTCTGAGACAGGTCAAGGAAGTTGTGCTCATTAAATATTCACATCTCAGTTCCCCCAAAACTGAAGCTGAGGATCAGACCTGCCCCACAACTGTACAAGAGAAGGTTCAAAGCCTCAAAACTGAGAAGGAAGAAGAAGAGGCCTGCCAAGATGAGGAGGAGGAAGAAGAGGCCTGCTTAGTTGAGGAGAAGGAAGAAGAGGCCTACACAGCTGAGGAGCAAGTAGAACAGGCTCAGGTGGCAAAAGCATCATGTGAATACACGGAGTCTGTTAAAAAGAAGTGGGACCGACTGTCTTGTGAAATCATCGTAAAGGTGTTCTTACGCAAAGTCATGAAGGATTTCCGCCCCCATGTGGATTACAAATCAGTGGAAGCCAGACTGTCAGACATGCTGATTGAAAAGATGATTGGTACTGACATTAATGTTGATTTGAGCCTGAAAAGCATAGAAAAGAAATGCAAAGCTGTGTACAAAGACCTACGCAAGAAGGTTGGTGGCGGAGTTCTTTGGATAAGTCTTTTACAGCAGAAAGAAACAGTCATTGAGGCTGCGGCTGAGGCTCTAAAAAAGCATTTTTCACCACCAAGACCCAGCGGCATCCAAAAGGTCTTGAGATGTGTATTCCGGCCTTTCACTGCCCTCTTTAACTGTTGCTAGAAACATCAGGGTTTGGGTGGGTGGGTACATGTAGACTTTCCTCATATCCAGCTTGGACTCTCTGGGCTTCCAGCCTCACTTCAACTAGTAGCGCATGAAGTCCTGGATAGATATGAGGACAGACTTCAGGTCCATACATGGCCATCCACGAATGGGTTTACTCCGAGTGCTTCGGTTTCTCCCAACACAAGAATAAATTCTTAAAAAAAAAAAAAAAACATCATCTCACACACACACACACACACACATACACACACACTCACAAAATAAAATAGCAGAGTGGCGCAGTGGAAGCGTACTGGGCCTATAACCCAGAGGTCGATGGATCGAAACCATCCTCTGCTAACCATGCTATCAGTAGCCCTTTGTGAGTCTGTGTTGTCCCCTTTCAGTCAGTCTGTACTTTGGTTGCCAACGGGTTCGAGCCAAAGTCTAAAAAATGGGTTGAACCTGTCATGGTCTGCCATACTGTTTATTTGTGTTTTTTCTCCTAACTTTGACTGTAGGAACCAATAATTGGAGAGTCTGCTCTGCCAAAAACATTGTGACAATTTTTGACAATCAAAAATCACTCTGTTCTTCGACACGTAAACGATCAGCCGGTCGGCCATGTTGGATATAACGGTGAATCAGACGTCGCAACAACACGCAATCTGATTGGTCAGAAGTGGACACACAGAATGCGAAACTTAAGAAAAATCGACCATGATCCGAAAAAATTAATGCCGCAATATCGCAGGACGGGAAAACGTCGCTGATGTGAACGCTTGTATTGACAGGATACAGGTTCGAAAAAAAATATTGACGTCCGAAATAATCGCATGACAAAAACAGTCCTGGTGTGAAAGGACCTTTGGGGATTGAGTGATTCATTTCCAACACAGCCTTAGGGTGTGGCAGAATTTAGTTGTGATCTGTTGCCATAGTAACAGGGAATTCCAGGTGGAGTTCCCCTTTACCTTGGCAACATCACTGTGATGTCATCACTGTGATGACATCTAAGCTCTGATGTCATCAGAGCTTTGATGCCATCAGAGCTACTTCAAGGTAGGGCAGCATGAAAAGCATTTATTGACCGCACCAAGGAGAAGAAAACCAAATTGGACCTTGCTTCAAGATCATTGCTCAAACACAATCTTTGTTTTCAAAACAACTAACAAACACAAACACAGCTATGAGTCTCAACAGCACACCACAGAGGGTGGAACAGAAGTTTCAGCTGGCATCCAAAGAGACCTTAAAGCCAGTCATCCGTGAGGTCTTAGAACGGCTGACGGCGCAAAACTGGAACAGACTGGAGACTGGGTTTATTGACCCAGAAACCGCCTCTCTTGTGACAGATTTGTGTGTCACTATAGTTGAAGTTTTGGCTGAAAGTCTCTATGAGTCTTTAAGCAGGAGATTTAAAAAACGGAAAGGATCTGCTACATCTGTGTGTAAGGAGGACGTGCATGAATGTTTAGGTAACATGGGTGAAGTCATCACACAGACTGTGGCAGAAATACAGGGTGTAGGTGACATCCACTACCTTCAGTGTGAGCAGATGACAGATGTCATGGTCACAGCAGTCACAGAGAAAGTAAACTCCAGGCTGTCTAAAACAAGTGACACTGACGTCACGGAGGAGCACAAGCCCCCTCCCACCTATCTAATCAAACTGACTCGACACTTGAAGGCGATTCTCAAAAAGTGCTCCAAAAAGGCGAGTAAAATGATGACTAAAAAGAAGCTCAAGAAAGCTCGGGAAGGTGAGATGTCAACGTCACACCAGGAGAAGAGGGTGGAGGAGACTGAGGATAAAGTTCTTCAAATCCTGGTTGAACAACTGGAGAAGATTTCTAATGATTCTCTGAGTTACTTCACAGAGGAAGAAGATAGCCTGCTTCTTTCTAAAACCAGCAAGGACTCAGAGTTATCAGAGTTATCATTTCGGATTGTAGAAGCTTTTTCAAATGAGGCTTCACAGGACCTGGTTGGAGAGAAACAATCATACACAGAAGAGACCTTAATACACAACAGGAGAAAGGTCATCAACAGGATGAGGACTGTCTTTGTCCAAACATTTGCTCGAGGGTCAATCCTGAGCATGATGTGTAAAGTCAGACGCAAGCAGGCCTCCCATCAAGGACAGGAAGTTGTGGAATTAGACACATCACAGCTGATTAAGAGTGTGGATAACCTTTTATCAGAGGTCATTACACAAAACGATCAGGATACAAGAAGTGGGTCAAGAGAGGTTTGCCTCTTTGAGACTCTTGTCAGCAACATTTCCCACGGCAAGCTGGAAAGTTTTGCTGAGAAGCTGCATGACACATTGGACGACCACTTGACACCACTAGGAGTCCAAGAAGAAACATACGAAGAGGAGATTCAGACTGAAGTAGCCAATGTCATTAAACGGATAAGGAATTGGCTAAAGAAGCAGATCCGACTGCACAAGACTAGGGAGGACAGTGTGAGCGTGACTCTGAGACAGGTCAAGGAAGTTGTGCTCATTAAATATTCACATCTCAGTTCCCCCAAAACTGAAGCTGAGGATCAGACCTGCCCCACAACTGTACAAGAGAAGGTTCAAAGCCTCAAAGCTGAGAAGGAAGAAGAAGAGGCCTGCCAAGATGAGGAGGAGGAAGAAGAGGCCTGCTTAGTTGAGGAGAAGGAAGAAGAGGCCTACACAGCTGAGGAGCAAGTAGAACAGGCTCAGGTGGCAAAAGCATCATGTGAATACACGGAGTCTGTTAAAAAGAAGTGGGACCGACTGTCTTGTGAAATCATCGTAAAGGTGTTCTTACGCAAAGTCATGAAGGATTTCCGCCCCCATGTGGATTACAAATCAGTGGAGGCCAGACTGTCAGACATGCTGATTGAAAAGATGATTGGTACAGACAATAATGTTGATTTGAGCCTGAAAAGCATAGAAAAGAAATGCAAAGCTGTGTACAAAGACCTACGCAAGAAGGTTGGTGGCGGAGTTCTTTGGATAAGTCTTTTACAGCAGAAAGAAACAGTCATTGAGGCTGCGGCTGAGGCTCTAAAAAAGCATTTTTCACCACCAAGAACCAGCGGCATCCAAAAGGTCTTGAGATGTGTATTCCGGCCTTTCACTGCCCTCTTTAACTGTTGCTAGAAACATCAGGGTTTGGGTGGGTGGGTACATGTAGACTTTCCTCATATCCAGCTTGGACTCTCTGGGCTTCCAGCCTCACTTCAACTAGTAGCGCATGAAGTCCTGGATAGATATGAGGACAGACTTCAGGTCCATACATGGCCATCCACGAATGGGTTTACTCCGAGTGCTTCGGTTTCTCCCAACACAAGAATAAATTCTTAAAAAAAAAAAAAAAACATCATCTCACACACACACACACACATACACACACACTCACAAAATAAAATAGCAGAGTGGCGCAGTGGAAGCGTACTGGGCCTATAACCCAGAGGTCGATGGATCGAAACCATCCTCTGCTAACCATGCTATCAGTAGCCCTTTGTGAGTCTGTGTTGTCCCCTTTCAGTCAGTCTGTACTTTGGTTGCCAACGGGTTCGAGCCAAAGTCTCAAAAATGGGTTGAACCTGTCATGGTCTGCCATACTGTTTATTTGTGTTTTTTCTCCTAACTTTGACTGTAGGAACCAATAATTGGAGAGTCTGCTCTGCCAAAAACATTGTGACAATTTTTGACAATCAAAAATCACTCTGTTCTTCGACACGTAAACGATCAGCCGGTCGGCCATGTTGGATATAACGGTGAATCAGACGTCGCAACAACACGCAATCTGATTGGTCAGAAGTGGACACACAGAATGCGAAACTTAAGAAAAATCGACCATGATCCGAAAAAATTAATGCCGCAATATCGCAGGACGGGAAAACGTCGCTGATGTGAACGCTTGTATTGACAGGATACAGGTTCGAAAAAAAATATTGACGTCCGAAATAATCGCATGACAAAAACAGTCCTGGTGTGAAAGGACCTTTGGGGATTGAGTGATTCATTTCCAACACAGCCTTAGGGTGTGGCAGAATTTAGTTGTGATCTGTTGCCATAGTAACAGGGAATTCCAGGTGGAGTTCCCCTTTACCTTGGCAACATCACTGTGATGTCATCACTGTGATGACATCTAAGCTCTGATGTCATCAGAGCTTTGATGCCATCAGAGCTACTTCAAGGTAGGGCAGCATGAAAAGCATTTATTGACCGCACCAAGGAGAAGAAAACCAAATTGGACCTTGCTTCAAGATCATTGCTCAAACACAATCTTTGTTTTCAAAACAACTAACAAACACAAACACAGCTATGAGTCTCAACAGCACACCACAGAGGGTGGAACAGAAGTTTCAGCTGGCATCCAAAGAGACCTTAAAGCCAGTCATCCGTGAGGTCTTAGAACGGCTGACGGCGCAAAACTGGAACAGACTGGAGACTGGGTTTATTGACCCAGAAACCGCCTCTCTTGTGACAGATTTGTGTGTCACTATAGTTGAAGTTTTGGCTGAAAGTCTCTATGAGTCTTTAAGCAGGAGATTTAAAAAACGGAAAGGATCTGCTACATCTGTGTGTAAGGAGGACGTGCATGAATGTTTAGGTAACATGGGTGAAGTCATCACACAGACTGTGGCAGAAATACAGGGTGTAGGTGACATCCACTACCTTCAGTGCGAGCAGATGACAGATGTCATGGTCACAGCAGTCACAGAGAAAGTAAACTCCAGGCTGTCTAAAACAAGTGACACTGACGTCACGGAGGAGCACAAGCCCCCTCCCACTTATCTAATCAAACTGACTCGACACTTGAAGGCGATTCTCAAAAAGTGCTCCAAAAAGGCGAGTAAAATGATGACTAAAAAGAAGCTCAAGAAAGCTCGGGAAGGTGAGATGTCAACGTCACACCAGGAGAAGAGGGTGGAGGAGACTGAGGATAAAGTTCTTCAAATCCTGGTTGAACAACTGGAGAAGATTTCTAATGATTCTCTGAGTTACTTCACAGAGGAAGAAGATAGCC